AAAGCTGCAAAAAATATATTTTCAAACTATTTATTGTCAAATTTAGTCTAATAATTGAAAACATGGATGAAATAAGAAATATGAAACAAATAAATAAAATACATACAGAGCAGAACACAGCTAAATGTATCAAAAGTATGTCTGTAATATTAGAATTTTCTGAGACAATGAACTTTGGTTTTTCATTTTTTTTCCCTGTAAGAGGTTTTTATTTAATAGATCTTTTGGACAAAAAAATCGCAATATATCGCCTTGCTTATAGTATCACAATATATCGGGATATATCGTATCGTGACCCCTCTGTCATGATATGTATCGTATCGCCAAATTCTTGCCAATACACAGCCCTACTAACTGCTCAAACTTCAGTTGAGTCTTTGTAAAATCAACAAAAAAATGGCCATCTTTGTGTTAGCCTGATTGGATGAGATTTCACAGCCATCTTGAATCAGGTTGACTGAGAGTTAAAGAGTTGTAGTTGTGCATTAAATGATTACATTCTGAGAGTCTCACTAACATCTGTGTGCTGGTTTATGAGATATTTTGCTAACAAACAGTCAACAGCTAAATAACACAGAGAACCAAATACTCACAAATGAGCTGTAAAATAATCTGCATTAAAAATCTTTTCCCTTTCAGACTCGTTCTCTAACGTTGTGATTGAAGGGGTGGTACACGGCGTTTTCTACTCTGACCTATAGCCGAGGCAGACCTGCAGAGACGGGCGCGACGGGGCGTGGCCAAGATCAGACGCTCCTCGCCCTTTCAGGTTTGCATCGACAAGAAGGCAATATCCGGAAGACACACTGAGCCTCGTTTTTAACACAAATAACAGGAAAGAACTCATTATTTTTTTAAAACTAAAAGAAGATTATTGGTCTTGAACACTAAACTCATGTTTGTTACATCAAAGCTCGACAGACTCACCTGTGGATCATTCGCTGCATGGAAATGGAACTTTCTGTATTTTGTGCGAACGTCGTGATAGAAAAACAGCACACAGAAACAACTGGAATAAAATGTATTCGCGTAGAAAACCGAAATGTTTAGTGAGTGGTCGGACGTGCTCGCAGTTTGGAGGGGAAAGCTGTTGGAGTTGTTTTGTTGCACTTTTTAAAAGGCGTCCACGTTGCCAGCTGAGGGAGGGCAGCAGTGATGTGGCTGCATTCCATTTAGGGACTGAAGAGCCGGGCTGTGTATTCTGGTGGAGCCGACAGCGACGTGCTGCTCGTTTAAAAATAGGTTGAAGCTTCAGATCCCTGTTCTGTTCTGTGTGGAAAGCTAAACCTTTACAATCAAATGTTTAAAAAGGTGGACCGGAACAAATAGTGCACAGTAGTTTTCCTGATATAATGATGTGCAATTCTGAAATGCGGGTACGCACTCATTGTAAACAAACCAATCAGGTGAACCCACCCAAAACCAGAAGGAAGCTTGAGTGGCGTGACTGACCTTCGTTAGGCTGGTTGTAATTATATTTTAATACTTTAATCAACAGTTCTGTTAGCATACGTAGCAGTACGTTGACTTCTACGGTATTTTTGACGTATTTTCCGTCACACAAACACTGGCGTCACCAGGACACCTAAAACACTAAAGTAGACTTGTGGAACCCTGATTTAATGGATATATGTGAGTTTCCATCAGTTGTGAGTAAACATCTTGTCTGAAGCTGCAGCAGTCGTCTTATTTTACACGAAGAACCGTCGACTTTAAAGCGTTTTCATCCCTGAAGACGTGTTCTATTTTTTTTTTTGTTTCAAATTTGTCACACTAACAAGAGACAAACCTAGTTGATGTTTTGAAAAAGGGAAATGAGTGAAACTTGATCACCAGATTTGTGATTGTCTTCATTCTTCACACAGATGTTGCTACTTGTTAATGTGCACAATTTTAGCTAAAATCATTTTTTTAATTGCCAAAATCCCGGGCTGCTCTAATGATTTGCTTCTGTACAAATGCTACAGTGGGTGCAGAGATTTCTAGTTTTTACAAGAAAGACATGTATTTAACACTAACTGTTACATAATAGGTCAGATGTGATGTTATTCGATTAGTATTATAGCGATAAAAATGGTGCTTTAGCTTTTAGAGAATGATTAACAACAAGAGTTGTCGGGTAATAAAAAGACAGGCAGCCAGTAAAATGTTGTGCAATATGAAATAAAACAAATCATCTACTCTGGAAGTCAGCTAAACCTGTGAAACGACAAAACCGCTGACGTTCTGGACACTTTGTGCGACTCATAGATTTTGTGAAACCTTGTGTTGCGTGTCGTTTTGTTTGAACAGCAGTCAATGATCAAACAGCAGGTTTCACAACACTGTTACCCACATGTTTGTCTGAATAACAGACTTCAACTACAAAGAAGGAAAATGTGGAGTTTTTACTAACGTAAATCACGAACATGTGTATTTATTTTGTGTACTGTTGTGTTCATATGAAATGTGTTGTTTGTGCCATAAAACAAAACTACAGTGAAGCCTGGTTTACTGTAGCACTTTAAAATGATTGCTTTCTGACATACTGACACTAATTAAAATCATGATTTCCACAAACATTACCTGTCAGATTTGATTTTTTTAATGAAATACTTAAATAATAATTTATGTATTCCATTGTTTTAAAGAAACACTGCCAACCATCTCATTGTCTGAAATATTAAAGCAATCGTCCAGATAAGATTATAAACAAACAATACCTGTAATAGATGCATCTTTGAATGGAGAGGCAAAGAGCTATCTGCAACCGGTAAGATATTCATTCTTTGCAACCTGTCAGAAAAAACCCACTTCACCAGATCTGAACCATCCGACAGATACAACTCATTCAGTCACACTCTCACCTGTTTCACATCATTGTAAACAAATCACTCACAACTCAACACGCTAAAGGAAAATCTTCCTTCAAGTGATATAATGCCTCAAAGCTGTGAGCACCATCATAAATGTACAAGATCTGACTGAAACGTTAACATTTCAGAGGACCTAAATAAGAATTAAGAATGTTTTCATCCATCTGTAGTCGGATGCCATTCAGTAACAGTCCAGTAGTACCACACACACACACGAACATGATACTTTTGTAGCAACAGCTTGTCTTTTAAAGTTCTCCATGGCCAGCTTCATCTTTGAGCGGCTCGTCCTGGTTGTCTTCTGTTTGCGGTTCTTTCATGTTGGCGAAGTCGACTTCTCTTCTCAGCTGATCCAGAGGAGGAAGACCGAACAGCAGGTTCCGTACGGCGATGGCCGTCATCAAGAAGCTACGAGACCAAACGAGTAACGGGGTTATTGTGATACGTTCACCTTCAAAGTTAAAAACCCGTCACGTCAGAGTACTCACCCCCTGCGTACTGTGTAGTACTTTTTAACAGTGAAGCGTTCCAGGCGCTCTGCCATGCCAGCCTCCCTGCGTTTCTTCACCTCCTTCATTCGACGCTGCCTCTTCAGGAACAGCTTGACGACCGGGTCGGTCGCGTTGACCTCGGCTTTTTCGTCGTCGTCTGCGGCCATGAGAGGCTGCAGCTCAGGAGGGAGAGGCTCTGTTTCTGTAAGAGTGAGACTGCCTGCTCAGCGTCTGACAGGACTCTGGTAACACAAAGTAAAGCGGACACTGGGTGGATTAACACTGCTAATTTTTCTGTACAAGTTTGGCGATCTAACTATATCTGTATACGCTGTTTTAGCCGTTCATCTATAAAAATGTTCAGCTCATTTGGAAGATGGGTGGTACAACCTTTGGTTTATGCAACATTTATACTTTTCAATATATTTAACTTTATTTACAAGTTTTTCACCCATAAAAATACATAGTGTTTGTGAATTCCTTCAAAAACATTTTTTGCACTATTGTCATCTTATGTTACTTTTAGCTTTTTGTTATTCTTTTGCTAATTTTAGCTAATACTCTACTTTTCTGTTTTATGCTGGACTTTGCCACTTTTGGTTTTTAGTGTCTTTTGCTACTTTTAGCTAGTCTTTGATACTTTTAGCTAGCCTTTTATGTTTAGCTTTAAGCTAGCATTTTGTAATTTTAGCTAGCTTTTTGCTGCTTTTAGCTAACACTGTTTATGCTGGCCTTTGCCACTAATAGTTTTTAGTAAGCCTTTTGCTACTTTTAGCTAGCTAGTCTTTGGTACTTTTAGCTAGCCTTTGTTATCGTTAGGCTAGCATTTTTTTCATTTTAGCTATCCCTTAGCTACTTTTAGCTAATGCTTTTTTTGTTTTCTGCTAATCTTTTGCCACTTTTAGCTAGCCTTTTGCTGCTTTTAGCTTGTTTTCTGCTACTCATAACTTAGCTAGCATTTTGATACTTTCTGACAATGTGTTCCTCCTGTAAGCTTTCTTTTAGCTGGTGTACCACTTCCTTTAGTTTTAACAACTCAATTTCAGCATCTACAGCTGATGTCAGCAGTCATTTGGCTCTCTAGTATTTTAGATGCATCAGCTGAAACCCAAACACGAACAGAAGGAAACCTCTCAACTAGAGTCACGCTAGAATTGCACAAAAAGGCAAAACTTAGATGATTCTTCAATAAATCCGACACAAACTTAGACAAATTTGATGCCAAGAGAAGTTTCAGAGCATCGTCTTCTCCGCGGTGTTCGTACCTGTTCCGTTGCGTATTCGCTCCTGCAGCTCCAGCAGCTTGGTGAAGTTCTGCTGCAGGGCCGCCTCTGTGGTGTTGACGTAAACGTACATGTAGCAGGACGGGACGTCGGACACGGTGTACACTTTATGATACGCCCCCGCAGGAACCTGCACGCGTTACAGCACATAAACGCTGAAGAAATGCTGAGTCATGCTGTCCACATGCCAAATTAAAAGTTTCCAAAACACCCAGGGTTTTGTTTTTTTATTTATTTTGACACGTCACAGGTCAAAGGGGAAAGAACAGCCAAAGTTTAGCTATTGAGAAGGTTGAATGTTCTCTTTGAAGTAGGAGTTTGCTACAAACACACACACTCAGCTCTGTGACTACATTTGTGGCTCCATCTCTTCAACCCTCTCTGCCCCCCACCCTCCCCTGTATTTTCACACATTGTTAAAAAGCCATTGTGTGCAGCTGTACCTTTGTCTGCTCACCAGGCTGCAGAGTGTGGTTCTTTTTCTCCTCCACGACCTCCACGTTCACCTGCCCCTGCAACACATGGATGCTGGTGTTGCCCAGATCTTCACTCACAAAGTTTTCCAAGTGGAGGCCTGAAATACATGCTGTCAATTAATAAACTTGATTAATGGAGAAAAAGAAGAACAAAGAGGCGTTTACAACCTGGGAAATCGGCGATGAAGACGATCTCAGTCTGGTTGTCCAAACTGCCCTCGATCTCCTGGAACTTTGCTCTCCAGGGTGAGAGGTCCACCAGCAGAGGCATCAGCCATGGGTTTGGTTTGAACGGCGACCATTCGGCCTTCACAACGTCCACACGTGGGTCAAATATTCTTAAAGAGGAGCCGATGACAAATTCAAACGTCACGTTATTAGTATCTTTTAAAAACATTTCCCTCTGGTGTAAAACGCTCCCGTACCTCTGCTGGAAGCGTTCGTTAATCGACACCCAGATATCAAAGTAGATTTCGGGATCGGAGATATTGTAGCGTGGCAACAAACCACTGAGGCACGTGGCGTATTGCTTCAGCATGTCTCCGTGATCTTTCCAGCGACGACTGTGTGTGAACACCTAAGAACAAGGAGCAGGAATGGGCTTTAAATTACCGGAAATCAGCTGAGCAAAAATTGAGGGAAATCTTGATTAGAAGCTTAAAAAAAAACAATAATCTGGACAGAAACGGTGCTGTGTTTAATCAGTTTGTTTCCCCTCAAATCTCACCCCCGGGTTCAGATATCCCACTTCCCCAGTTTTCCCATCTTTGTAGGTGATCTTGACGTGCTGATGGGTGCGGGAGTGGACCATCATGTCCCAGGAGTAGCCATACAAACCATTGGTCCAGTTATTGTAACCCTGGACAAAAAGGAAGATTTTAAAAACATCACATCCTCTCATTTGGAATTACAGGTTCACTTTTTAGTAAAGTTTCTGACCCAAGGTTATAATAGTTTTGGATTTTTCATTATTGTTTAGTTTTATTTTGTTGTGACTTTTTTTTCTTTTAATTCAGTTAGTTTTAATTAGTTTTTACACTAGGTTTGCTAGTTTGCATTAGTTATTATTGGATTTTTAATGGTTAGTTTTAGTTTAGTTTAGTTTTTATTAGTCATGCTATTAGTTTTTTATAGTTTGAATAAACATATTTGTCAGTGCATCCTCAAGTTTGTGATGTATGCGAGTTAACTGACCAACAGATATTTGGTCACTAGTTAAGGCAATCCATTATAGCGACACCTTCCTAAAATAATTGTGTAACTTAATAATGCCAACTAAAAACTTAGGTGATTATTTTAGGACAATGATAATAGTTGTCTCCAGCCTGCTATCTGTTTTTCACGAGAGCTACTGAGAGAATCTAGCATGTCAATATAGTCATAGTTAGTCATCTTGTGTGAGCTTGATTCATTCAGTTTTTTCCTTCCACCTATTTTATCACCTGTTCCCTCTACAAGACACTTGCTTTGATTTTTCTCGCATCATATTCAGAGGAATCCCAAAGTGGACATTGCCGTTTTCGCCCAACTTTTGTTGTCGTCATTTGGCAGATGATGCTGAGCAGCAGACTGTAAACAAGTGTTGTTACAAAACCTGAGGTGCTGTAAGCTGCACACAGCTAATGTGAAACTACTTACCGGTAATTTAAAAAACTGACAAACACTACGGATATTCTATCTATAATTTCTGTTAGTCTCAAGTGGGGGAGTTTAAGTATCTGGGGATCTTGTTCACGAATGGGGGAAGAAGGGAGCGGGAGATCGACAGGCGGATTGGCGCAGCGTCTGCTGTAAAGCGGGCGCTGTACCGGTCCGTCGTGGTGAAGAGAGAGCTGAGTCAGAAAGCGAAGCTCTCGATTTACCGGTCGATCTACGTTCCTACCCTCATCTATGGTCATGAGCTTTGGGTCATGACCGAAAGAACGAGGTCCCGGATACAAGCAGCTGAAATGGGTTTCCTCCGCAGGGTGGCTGGGCTCTCCCTTAGAGATAGGGTGAGAAGCTCAGTCATCCGGGAGGGACTCAGAGTAGAGCCGCTGCTCCTCCACGTCGAGAGGAGCCAGTTGAGGTGGCTCGGGCATCTGGTAAGGATGCCTCCTGGACGCCTCCCTGGTGAGGTGTTCCGGGCACGTCCCACCGGGAGGAGGCCCCGAGGAAGACCCAGGACACGCTGGAGGGACTATGTCTCTCGGCTGGCCTGGGAACGCCTTGGAGTTCCCCCGGAGGAGCTGGAAGAAGTGGCTGGGGAGAGGGAGGTCTGGGCCTCCCTTCTGAAGCTGCTGCCCCCGCGACCCGACCCCGGATAGGCAGAAGAAAATGGATGGATGGATGGAATTTCTGTTAGTTTTAGCTAGTTTTATAAAAAAGATTATACAGTTTCAGTTAGTTAACGTGTTTTTCATTTTATTACAGTTTTTATTTATTTTAGTTAACTAAAAAATTTTTTTTCAATTTCAGTTTTCATCATTTAGTTTTAACTAACTATAATCACCCCGTTCTGACCTCCTGTTTGCTCTGAAATGACGAGTGTTGACTCTGATTGAGCAACTACTACTGAGTTAGGGAGGGTTGAAAGGCTTTGAACTCCCTGATTTCATTGGAACAGGCTGGAAAAGTTACATAAAAAAGCATCTACCTGTGTGATGAAGTGGGAGTAAGGCATGAAGAACTGCTCGATTATATAGAGAAGAGTAAAAATGGCTGCCAGCTTGTGTTTAAGTCTCAGTTTGGAGGGTTTGGCGACGTTCTGCGTCTCCTGTCGTTCGGTGCTGGGGCTGTCGGGGTAAACGCAGGAGGTGCTGGGCTGGAGCTCTGATGATGTAAACGGCAGGATCGAACTGAGGAAAGACGGGAAACGGGCGAAGAATCTTCTGGGCCAATCCGGGTAGCAGAAGAGAGAACTGGTGGACAGCATGGTGTAGGAGAACATCCCTGAGGAGGATCAACAATCTTAATACAATCTACAGGGGACTAAAACCACACCTTAAAGTATTTTTGGGAAAAAAAAGAACAAGAAGCTTCACTAACCAATGCTGAAAAGCTGAGAGTTCATGCAGTGGAAGTACGACACAAAGAAAAGCGCGATCGGCCGCGTCGCGTCGAAAAACAGCAGATAGCCAGCAGTCAGGTCCAGAATGAGACCACCTCCGTGTATGACCAGCAGACTGACTAAATCCACAGGAAGAATCAGTCTGAGGGAAAAAAAAATACACAAACAGCTCAAATATATTAAAGAGATGAAAAATCAGTCCTGGAAAAATGAAAAAAAAACACCTACTTAAAAGGATCAAAAAGCCAGTGGTGAGCCAGATATGACATGGAGTATCCCTCCACCCAGTCGGCATCCAGTTTTTTTACTCCAGCGATGAAGTACACTATGAAGATCTTCGAGGAATAAGAACACAGACGCCAATAAATCAGCTGCTTTCATAAAAGCCCTGTCACACTAGACAACAGATGAACATTTTAAAGACGAAATTGAAAAACTCAACAAGAAGCTTCTTTTTGGCGAGTACATAATGTAATTCAAACAAATTGGTAAAATATACAACTTTTATTAGCAATTTAGACATAAAAATGTTTCATAAGTTGGCATAGGTGGTCTAGTGTGACAGGGTGTGTGCATAAATCATGCACAGCTCTCACAAACCTGTGTCCTCAGTAGGGTATAGTTCCAGAGAGGCACGTGAGCATTTCTAATAGAAGGCCTCCGCAGTCCATCTACTGACCTACAAATACACACAGCCATGAATCACAATCACACACACACAGGTGGACTAATAAGCACCACCTTACCAGTATCTGTTGCCGTCCATGAGTGTGAGCTGAAAACTGATGAGGCCGTAGAGATAGGAGTGGTTGTTCCAGGCGGTTTTATCCAGGAAGAAGACGTACCAGTATGTCGAGATGAACATGAGGCACGAGAGGCGGTAGAAGCAACCAAGCATGATGCCCACAGCCCCTTCAAATAAACAAACCCCAGTTTGATCAGTTCATTGCTTTTTATTAAGTCTCCGCTGAGAGTTAAACCTATTATGTTTGCTTTTAAAGGGTACATAGCAAATAAATCCACTTTTATAGCCATTAAATGCATTTTGTTGTGTACTTTGAGTCAGAGGGCAGAATTGATGGATTAAGTTTCTCCCAGTCCTGCGTAGATATCTTTATATTGTGTTTGTCATATTTTTCAACCCATTGAGTTTTCTCTATTTTCTGAAATATTATGTCAAACTATTTACAATGGAACTGCCAAATAAAGCTGCGCAATATATTGCAAAGTTATCATCGTCTTGATTAACAAACAGCCTGTGCAATAGGCATATTGCAAAAAACTGCAATAAATGGTTGGCTCAAATGTTTACATTTATTTATGCACTTTGTCAGCATCCGTCTGGTAAACTAAATGATCTGAGACATCAAACCATCACCACTGAGTGAGTGTAGAAAATGTTGGACAACTGTAATGAGAGAATACGCTGATGGATTTAGGTTTGTTAACTTTAAATCACTTCACTTATTTTCAGATGTTCATTTTTATTATTCATTTAAAAAAACTGATAGTAAGGGGTGTTTTTCAGTATTTATAGCATAGAAAAATTTTTATGGGGGTGATGTTTTAAAGTCATTATGAAACTGTTGCATGCAGTTTGTTGTTTCACTGCTAACAGCAGCTGTGTCTAGTTACACTTTTTAAAAATCAAACTGTGATGTTGTAATGGAAATGACATTTTGCACAATCAAGTATTTGTTCATTTATCCCAAGTTATATCATCATCGTAATATTAAGGACTGTTATCATATGTGACCCATCACATCGAAACGAGGATTAAGTCCAAAAGTGTAAAAGGAGAAATAGGCAAATATAGTGTTATGACTAAAATGTTAACAAAAATTGCATTTTGTCAAAATATAAAGAGTAAAAGCCTTATCAATGTACCATTTGAATGAACTGCCTGAAATATGATCATAAAACAAAAATTTGAAGCACTTTTTTTAGCAGTAGCAACAAAAAAAACTGATTTTGAGGAAAAACGCTTTAAATTTTGAGATTTTCCCTGTGAGCTAGCAAAGTTTTGTTTATTTTTAGCTGGGAAATCTCAATATTCAAATATAATTTGAGGTTTCCTCTTTATAAGGACATCAAAAATTCCTCATTAAAAGACATAAAATTAGGATTCAGACCAAATATTTATGTATTTTTGTAMCCAACAAGACAAATTAAGTCATATATATGGATTTAATTATGATAACAGAATGATCCAGGTTTCAAAATGTAGCTTTTAAAGCCAAGAATCTGAAAATGTAATTAGGTCATTTTGACCAAATTTGACTTAATCCTCATTTCGATATGATGGGTCACAAATGTTACAGGCTTTCCTGACGTCGTGCAGCCCTACTGCCTTGTTGACATATTTTATTAAATTTGTAAATAAAAAGCTTCTGCGCTGCTATATAGTCATAAACCCTGCTATCAAACTAGAATGAACCAGTCTGGAAGCTGGACGGGGACAGGGTGTGAAGTGCCTCATTTGGATTTAAAGAGACAGCCTCGAAACGAGTTGATCTGAAACACAGCACAGAAAAGGGGCGGGGCTTGTGGCTGAACAAAGCATTGCAGTTCCACTATATAGACCCCAATTGAATGATTTAAATATGAAATAGAAGGATTTAAAAGCAGGATACGTCTACTTTAAAAAGTACTTAATGTCTGTTTTGGTCCGTGTGTGTGTGCAAGTTTGTTTTATCAGTACCGTTAGCAAAATATTTCATGAATCACTTGACAGATTTTAATAAAATTCTCAGAAAGTAATCACTGGACTGACACATATAACTGATTATATGTGGAACCAAACCTGAATCAAGATGGCCTCCATAGAAAAAGCAATCTTGCCAAACACAAATCTGGTTATAACTCAATAAGTTTTATAAATATTGAGCTAAAGTTTGGTGTGGTAGTAGCTGAGACTGATACCTAATTTAAAATCAGAGTGCTAACTGATCCTCTAAGATCTGTTGTTTAAAACTTTGACATTAACTGTTAAGAGTAAGAGGAAATTAGCAGACGTGCATGTATGTGCTATAATCCCTGCAGCTGAGCGCCCCACAGAGATTTCCTCTATAAAAATAAAAAATCTCCTTCTGCTCAGACGCTAATAAAACGACGAGGAGTGATGCCTCAAAGCTAAAGAAGTTACCCACCGAGGAACATCACCAGGTACACCATGTACATCCAATCCAGCGGCAGGGGCTCCAAGAAGTTAAAAAGGGGGAAGCGACACACGGGGGCTCCATCCAGATACTTGTAGTCCAGATGGCTGAGACCCCGCTCCTGTGTGACGTCTATAGCCATCAGCAGACCTGCACATAACACATCAGTGAAAACAGTTATTGCTTTGCGATAAAATAGACTTAGTAAAGAGCATTTATTTACCAAACAAGCAACGAAAGATGCCCAGAGAAGCAGGGTCAGTGGGACGGTTCAGGAGGGCCACAAGGCTTTCCCAGGAGCTCAGGTCCTCCTTCTTGAACCCAAAGATCCGCTCCATTCGGCTTTTAGTCTGTAATTTTACTGCTTTAGGTGTCGCAGCCCTTTTTGCAGCATTTCCTTCTCCATCACTGCCAACAAAAGCTCCTAGAAGTCAAGCAGGAACAAAACACAAGCATGCATTTATGATTTAAAAGAAGATTTAATGGGGAAAATATCTGAAATGAACCTACTGAGTTTTACTGAAAACAAAATCCCTGCATTGTTTACAAATCTATCTGCTCTTGTTTTTGTGGTTTAAACCACAGCTTGTTAAATATTGGTTTAACTTGTAATTACGGTTAGTTAGGAACAAAACAAACTGCTACTTTTCTGTCATGCTAGCAATAAGCTCACCTGCTATAGCGTCTGTTGCCTCCATGGTGTTACAAAAAAGTTGCTTTTTTAATTCGGGACAGGGGGCGTCTTTTCACTGCTCTCCCTGCCCCAGGTGGAGGTGTCCTGCGTGGGCAATGACGGACAAAGTTTACGTGTCACAGCTCCACACAGTCTGGACCGTCTGGACCGCCAGCGAGGAGGAGGAGGAGGAGAAAGGAAAACAGTTCAGGAGAGACTGGAATGTTGTGAAAGAGGTGCACGCTGCTGATTGGCTGTTACCTCCTATAGTCCCGCCCAGTTTAAACGTCATATCCTATTAGAGTAAAAGTCAGCAAAATATAAATAAATAAATAAATAAATAAATAAATAAATAAAGTACATTAATTTCACATGGGCCTATTTTGTGTACAGAAATTTATACATATTCATATAAATAACTAATAGAAAAATAAAATAGTGAATTATAGGTTTGAAATAAAAGTTCTAACAGCAAAGCAAAAACCCAAACACATATTTCTACAATCATCAAAAGAAAAATTAATAATTACATAAAATTTAATACAAAAATTACAATGAATTCAATATATAAAAAATAGAAACAGACAACTGTAGGCTACCATGTCTCCACAGCTGTGAAAAGTATCGTGCAGATCTCAACTGTAGGTTTACTAGGGCTATAATAATTTTATTATAAGATTCATTTAAACCATATATAAGCAGATTATAAGCACAGCCTGCTTAGTGCTGACTCAAGTTATCACAAACATTTTACTTGCACTGCCTTATCTTGGTCTTCTCAGAGGTACTCTCAGTGCATCAACCTAACGTCTTCTCAGACTTCTTTTATTCTGGCCACAAATGTGCCGTATAGGCATACAGCATGCTTCAAAAAGATTTTTTACCTCATCAGCAAACAAGCATCGTACCTAATATCATGCTACATATTCAGCTGCTGAAGACAACTTGCACTTATTCAATCTTTTTACTTCCTTCCAGAAACAATTAATAATAATTAATATTCTGAGCCATAGAATCACCCCTCAGCACATTGTGCAATAGTGACCTTCTGATGCTCAGACAAGGATCCCTGCCTAAGTTTATCTCACAAGCTTCTGTATGATAATCTGCTACATCCCAGCCAGGCTGAGAAAGATGTCTCTTCTGTTTATATTTATAGAGAGATTTACATTGTCAGTTCCTGCACTATATATCATCATGCATAGAACAGAGAGTTGATTGGCACCACATCTCTGTACATCCAACATTCCTGCACATAATTGCATCCTGATAATGTGCCCCAGGGTAGCTGTGGCTACAGTGTAGTTTGCCATCATCAGTGTGTGAATGTGAGTGTGAATGGGTGAATGTCTGTTAGTGTAAAGCGCTTTGGGGTCCGGAGGGACTTGAAAAGCGCTCTATAAGTTCAGTACCATTTACCATTACCTTCATTTGAATATTGATGGAGATGGTATTTGAAGATTGGATAATGCCATATTTGTATAATCACAATATGCTATGAGGTTCTCCTTTGTAAGGGAGCTCCAGTCTAGACTTTCTAGCATTTTATTAGGTCTATTTAAAATAATTGCTGGGAGTTGTTCCACATTTATTGTCAGTGCAAAAGGTACAGTATATGATCAACCATTGCAATCCCATAAAAGACACTCCTATAGGAAATGTTGAAAAACAAAACATAGTAATGTAAAGATTGGTTACACATATATAACAGAAGTGATTTATGTTTTAATCTATCCTTTTATTTAGTTATTTGTATATACAAAGCAACCACTGTTCAAAAGAATGTCCCAACACAAACGAGCTACATCTAATGGCCAGAACTCTGCAGTTTTCACTCATTTACAGGCCAGCGG